GTTTCCCTTTCTTTCTGTGTGTGCCTCTGTTTCTACCAGCCTGTTTTGAGATTTAGGTCTGAAGTGATACAGGAGGATTATGACTTTTTTTCTATTTTGCATATGTTTAACTTGTGCCGACTCTTGATTTCAGTTTCGGGTTCTTACTGAGGCTGTCGGGACAACTGAAGAGTCTGCAGAGTGGTCATACCTTTGGGGACGAGGGGAGCTGAGAGTGTTACTGCAGTTATAAAATATGGCTTCAGCATCTTACTTAGCTGCTGCGAGACCTGCGTACAGCCCTGTCAGCTCGCGAGTTTCCTTTCCAGCGCTGAATTTCCTGGCTGCTGTCAGTCTAGGCCATACGCTTGATGTGAATTTTTCCCCATGTAAATAGGCAAAAATATTCTCGTCTGCCATTCACACACTTCAGAAACACAGTTCGTTGGCCCATATCGTGCCTTCTCTGTGCTGGAGATGAACTTAATTCTTCTTATGTGTGAAAGATATCTGCAATTTAAATGACTAATTGCATTGTAGCTTTAGGCTGAACATATTGGTAACGCACAAATGTTGATGACACGTGAAGGGTCAAGAGATTTATAATTTAGTTGACAATACATTGCTTAAAATGATGTGGCAAAGAGCCAGAAAATTTCAGCTTAATAATTGTCTATTAACTAACATGACATATTTGTATAGTATTTGTTACCTCCAGGTACAGATTAAGCATCTGATGTAGCCATACGAAGTGACATGCGTACATGAATCTTGGGCGTAATAGTGAATAAACTGACATTACATTTGCAGTAATTTGTTTCAATATGTAAAACATGTTGTTGCCTACATTTGAAAGGACTTGTAGGAATGTTGCAATGAAATCTGAGGAAAAATGCGTAGTGGAATAGAGTTCTCTGTTATATAGATCTGACAGCTTTGTGAGGCTTCTTTGTAGGCTGCAGATAACATCATAAATATACATGTTTGTTTTCAGCTGCATGAGAAGCAGCCTGGAAATAGAGATCTAAGCCTTTCAGACATTGGCTTGATCTACCTTAATGGTCTATCAGGTTAAAAAAAAACCAAAGCCCAAAACGCCAACCACCTAACACAACCAACTTTATTTTTAAAAAAGCATCACATAAATATTGAGTAATGTAGTATTTTAGTATAGTGAATGTGGGAGTGTTTCTGTCAGACTCAGGCTTGTTAGAATAGGCAGCATCAGTAAGCTGGCTTATCACCAAAGTAAAATCAGCGTCTTTCGCTTTGTTTTCTCTGGTCTAAATTAGGCGCTTATTTGTACAAGCAAAACTGTCACAATTCTGACAGGGTCACTTCTTTCCCCCTTGCTGCTGGGGGAGACCCAGCGAAGTGTTTGGGCACTCCACAGTGTGTTAATGGCTTTTTTTAACCTTTTCTTCCTCCTGTGAGACAGGGATTTGTCTGTGTTTTACAGCTGGGAAACTAGTGTCCAGGGTACACTAGATGTGTGACTGCAGGTGACAAAGCCGGGGGCTGAACCTGGATGCTTTTCCCCAGACTCACTAGGTGCTCTTACCACCTTTCGACACCGTCCCTGCTGCACGCAGCTGTAATTTTTCAGTGTGTGGAGATGTCATTGAAAACTGTCTCGTGACTTTGCTGCCTTCTGCCAGTGGTATTTTTATAACGTGCAGCTGAGCTGGATGGGTGATCTGGGAGTGGGGTGCGTTTATGCCACCCCAGAAATTGAAAGGGGAACTCTTGGCTTGTCTTTTTAACATTTGCCCCCCTCTCAAGAGTTTAAAACTTTGGATGTGATTGGTGTGAAGCCGTTGAATTTGAGAAGGGACCGTGTACTCTGCCAGGTCACGGAGCCTGACCTGAGCTTGGTGGGAAGGGAGGTGTCCGCTAACCCCTCTGAGCTTTGTATCAGGGCCTGTAGACCGTCTCTGAGCACCTTTGATATCCTTGTCGGTACCAGTGATCCAGACTTGTAGATCACATGTTCCAGATACCCTGGAGATGAGGAATAAGGTGGTGATGGGAGCTCAGGTAAAGGAAGAGCCTTGTTGCAATCTGTGGCTCTGTATCAGCTTCAGCCTTTTCACAGAGATGTGGTATTTAATTCCTGGTCCAGCCACTGGAGAGAGCTCTAGAGATCTTAAAACAGGTTTCGGGAGCAACCTCTAGACGAAACTAACTGCACAACAGGCGTGGGGCTACAGCAGGATCTCCACAATGTCTTCTGCTGCTAAGATCAGTGAGAGCAACTGATAGTGCTGTAAAAGGCTCGAAGGATGAAGAAAGGGCGGCAGCGTGCTGCTTTGGCAAAGTTGCCGGTTTGACTCGACTCTGAGGATCGCCCAAAAGCAGGGTTGCTGCTGTTGCGGCCTCCTGGGGCTGGTTTTAACCAGCTGGTGGTGTCGGTACTGTGAGGGCTGGTTTCCAGGGGCGCAGAGCCGCGTTGCCGCAGCACCTTACCCGGCTGACGAGCAGGGTCTGTCAGCTGCTGGTACCGAGGCTGCTGATACCCAGGTTGACTGGCAGTATTTGTGCTGGTCGCTGCCCCTCCCGGGCTGCGTGTCTCTGTATTGGTTTTCTTTTGGAAGGCAAGCGGGGTGCTGGGGCTCCAGTGAAAGGGATCCTTAGGATACGGCTGATGTCTTCCCGCCCACGGAGAACAGATGGCATCTTAACTTCAAGTGTTCTCACTTTGGGTTCTCTAGGTGTTTTATTACAGGCAGTACATAACCCTCTGCAGCTTGATCCGAAGCCCAAAACAAACCCATGAAAGACCAGTGCTTCGATGCAGCTGTGGAGGACAGCAGCTAAACGGAGTTCGTGCTCGTCCCCATATAAACTTAGTGCAGAGTGAGTTGCCCAGCGCAGTCCCAGTCTGGACTGGAACGACCTAGGCTGTCTGCTGGCTTCTTAAATGTTAAACCATCCTGTGCTTTGAGAGAAGGACTTTTTCTTTTAACTTGGATGCGGCAGCAGCTGTTGGGTTAGATATGTTCAGTAAGTAGTCAGAGAGCCCCTGGCCCTTGAAATGCTGTGCTCAGCTCTGATAAGCCGGTGTGATGCTACGTGAAACTTGGAAGTATGAGCTGGCTGTCTTGGCAAACAGGAGTCCGGGATAAGCTTTGGCTTTGGATGCGATATTACAGCATAACATCGCTTTACATCTCTGCACTGGGCATGATGGGTAAGAACTGAAGAATAAATGAATCCATAACTCTGTCTCAAACGCAGGCAGCTGGGCGCTTCTGCCCTGTTGTGGCATCTCGCGGCTCCAGCAGCTTCCAAAGCGGGCTGGGGGATTTGCGTTCTCTGCCTCCCTTTTGTAAGGGAGTGAACAGGATGGAGGTGGCTTTGTTTGGTGTCTTTTTAGAGGTAAGACTTCTAGTCTAATGACTGTTTGGAGAGAAAATACTTTCACCTCAATAAAGTTCTTTGAATTATAAAGGGCATTGCTGTTGGGTTACTGAAAACCCTTGGGGTTTGTTCATTTATAACGTTGCCTCAGGCCTTCTGCTGCATCCTGTTGGACTGACCTCCTTTTCAACCCGTGCTGGCAGCTGCATTGCAGAGCTATCTTTTCCCTGGATCCTTCAGGGTTGTCATATGACAAACTTGAACTGTGACCCTTTTGTGTCTTACCAGGACAGCAGTGCCCTCTCTGTACAATGTGGCCAGCAGTCTTCCCCACGCACACATTTGTTCCAAGCCATTTAACAAACTGAAAGTTTCAAATGATGGCATTTCATAGTGTTTAATAGTATCGACTGTAAAGCAAATGAAATGGTGCTGAATACCCTGCATGCTGCTAGTAAGAAATACAGCTTCCATTTCTGCAATATGCCCTGGGTTTTCTGTGGTTAGTGTGTGCTCTCTGGTGAATCTCTTTATTTTTTTATTAAATTTCAATGCTTAGCCCCTAACAAAAGTAGCATTCACTGCTATAGATAGTCCAGCACTGGTATTTGTTTCTAATATATGGGGGTTTTAACCAGATTTCTCTAAGCAAAGTGGGCAAAGTCATTTTGCTGAAGTCTTGCAGAGAGTGTTAGGGTAAGAATTGATATAGTTAACACGGCATCCAAGCAACACCATCTCCAAGTGGTGTTGATGCTGGCAGGCATTGCCTGGCTGAAGTTACAGAGACTGAGCACTCCTATTTGTACAAATTGCATTCATTACCACGAACCCTCCAGTAGTGATAAGAGACTGGCTGTGTAGCATAGATTGGCTCCAAGATAAGTAGCCAGTCTATTGTGCAGCTCAGGGTAATCTTCCTCCTCCCCACCCCTAATAATAAATCTTGGGGCATTTTGGAATGCGTGGGAGTTGCTCATTCCAGTAGCCTGCATGTATAACTACCAACATCATCGTCTCCTGCCGACTGGGCTTTCATAACCAGGCGAGGCAGCAGGCTGAGAGGGGCAGGCTCCGATGCGGTGTCCCGAACACGTGGGTGCTTCGCCTGCGTGCGTTTGTTGCTCCCTTAAAGGACGATTCGCGGGTGATGGCTGCGGTAAGAGTTTCTCCTGGCCGTGTGTCAAGGCTAGAGCCCACTCGCAGTCAGGGTCTGCTTCAAGGGGAGATGTGGCCATCTGGAGCTTGGGGGTTTGCAAGTGGGAGTCAGCGCCGTGCGCAGCCTGGGGCTCTGCGTAGGGCCCGCGGCGGTTCCTCCTCCGTCGTTAGCTTGTCCGTGCTCAGCGCGAGCGGCTGCATCGTGTGACTTCAGTGAAACGGCAGCTGTTTGTCTTACCATAATGATACAGTTTTAAAGAAAGATAGAATTTTCTGGTTGCTTTGACTGAAATAAACCATCAACTGGCAAGCGCTTGCTTTGTCTTTTAAAGTGTCTAATGGGCAGGGACTTCTGGGCTGCTGTTTTTCAACATGCAAAGCTGACCAGAGCAGGCTAGTTTTAGGCAAGCAGGCAGTACAAGCCAACCAGTTTGGTTAAAAACTTGTGTTTACATGGAACTCTAATATTGTATTTTTTCTCTCTCCCTCCCTCCCCCATTTAGGGTTTGAATGGCAACGGAATTGCTCCTGGATCATCGGGTTTTAGCCTTACGAAACAGCTGCTCTGTCCAAGAATAACCCGTGTCTGTCTCAGGGACTTGATATTCTGCATGGAACAAGAGAGGGAGATGAAGCACTCTCTAACCTTGTACCGTGCTCTTCTGAAGTGATTTGAATTTTACATTTCACCTTGCTGTCTACTGCCAAAGAAAACACTGAAGCATTGTTGCACTGTCTTGAAATTCCAATTTCTGGAAAATGATCCGTTGTAAGGATAACTCTTGTTTACAGATAAACATTTTTATTAAATACCTAACTTAGCACCTGTAGGGTTTTTAATAATATTTGGCTTAACCAGTCTGTAAACCAGTGAACACACTGAGCTGCACACACAAGCACCTGACTCCCTGCTTGCATTTAGCCGTCATGCAGGCTCCGAGGGCTTGGTACGTGTCCCTAGTTTGTGTATGTCGCTTGCTTCAGTACTTCAGAGTCTGCAACATCTGTTGGACGTGTAGTGCCTTCTTCTAATCCAGCCCATTTAGGGAAACCAGTAACACTTCAAAGGCACTGCATAGCATGGCAACTGCATTTAACCACGAACCAGCAGTCAGTCAACGTGCTGCTGTATTGCCTGTCTGACTGAGCATCTCCTTCCGTTTTCTGGGGTTAGAATTACTACTGGGTGCTCGTTTGTGGGGAGCAAGGTAGCAAGCAGAAGGAATAAGGAGTGCTTTCTCCCCGCTGCCTTGCCTCAGCTGCCCTCCCCCTTTCCTCTGAGAAACTGACGGCGGGAAGGTGAACAAATTGGTTGTTCTTGTGGTGGAAGTACATCAGGCAGAGTAGTTAAGGCATACTTTGATGGTTGGGGAAAATTTGGAGCTGTTAAACGTGAATACAAGGAGTGAAAGAGCCTCAAAAGGAAAGGTAAATAGAAGAAACAGTTTATCTTTCTGTAGATATAAAAAATACCATTGAACTTGAGCATAGGTGTAGAAAGAAATGAATAAAAGCAACCTGTGCTGACTGCAGAAAAGGGAAGACTCAAGATGCATTGAAACTTTTCAGCTGGAGACCCTCTTAACGAGAAAAGCAGTGTTTGCAAAGCCCAAGGTTCACTGCTTTATTTAGCATGTTGGTTTAACACCTTCATGGGGTATAACAGAGAAGCTTCCCGGGTAGAAAGTGTTTAGACAGTTGCCTGGTTTCCATTCAGTGAGGAGGAGGACTCTGAATTATTAAGACCGCTGGAATAGATTCAAAGATTTTCTGCTTGCTGGTAAAGACTGCCTTGTGGAGGAAGGAAAAGCCTCTGGGTCGCTGTTCTCCCCAGCCTCCAAACGTTTTGCCTCCCATGACGCAGTGCTGTATAGCATGGCTCTTTCCCAGGACTGGTGGGAAAGGCACCGACTGTATGGAATGGCTTCCT